CATTAACCTTATCAATATAAGACAGTCACTGACCGCCAATATTTTCTAACTTCCGTCATTTGTGATTAAACTTAACGAGTCGGACGACTGGCATCAATCATTTCATTTTGGCCTCCTTCTAATCCAGCGTGAAAAACATCACTGATACAAACGACAGACATATTCTTGCGTCTAATCCATCAATTTCTACTTAAGATAATCACAGTATTGCTGTACATCGACCCTGGTATAACTAGGCGTATGATGCGATTTGACTTCGGTTCAGAGAATGGTGAACCCCAAAACATGGGTTTAATTTCACCCGAATAACTCACATTACTCAAATTATTAACGGATACAGAATGAAGGTTAATTCACCAAGCAAAATATGCAAAACTGTTGCAATATATGCCCGAGAAAAGAATTGCTTACAAATTCTTACTTGATCAAAAACAATAGACGAAGTATTAGCATTAGAACAGAAACAGCCCAAACATAATACAGACATCGTGAAGATCTTCTTTTATACAGAATTGGCTTTTACTGAACTGGACTTAACAGTATGAAATACCATTTTCTATTCATGGTTGAAGTTATCCATAATGACATGAAAGTGAGATTCGATTGTGATAAGCACAAGGAAAAGTATGTCAACAATCTACTTACTCCACTAGTTAAACTATCTAAATAGTTAATCTGGTGAAGCAGTAATTGAAATAAAGACTTGTCTTGACTAAACTTGACTATATGAATAATAAGTTCTACTCAACGTTAATCTCTCTTAGATACATAACGACCAGTCATGTCTAGCATTGTAAATACAACATTACAAAAATACCATTACAAGCATACTACATCATGTATACGACACACGTCAATACTTTAGCAAATTGAAGCTTGGCATGTCTAGACTCCTTTGTTTTGGGCAAAAGTAAAAGTATCGATTGAATCAAATTTTAATGTTAAATCTGCCTAAACTTCAAATTTTAGATTTTCAGGAAGAGACAATCGTGATGCATGTCACAGAGTTGAGATATAACTGATTATGTGTTCAACAGTCGACACAGTTTAAGCAAATAACAGAAACTAAACTTAGTAAACAAACTGACTTCGACCTAAGATGTCAAATCCAACATTTAAGATCTTGCGAGGCCCTTGAACGAAATAACACATGATTAGATGAAACCAATTCTGACTTAAATTTTAAATGATTTTTAAAAATGCAAAACTTTAAACATTCATAACTTCGTAGTGAATGAAGTTATTTGGATGAAACCGAATCTGGCTTAAATTTTATTTGACTTTTAAAAATGCATAACTTTAAATATTCATAACTTCGATCTGAATGAAGTTATTTGGATGAAATTTTTAATATATACATTTTATATCAGACAATAACACACGAAAAAAACCGCAGAAATCACGGAATTCGGCACTCAAAACGAAATTTGAAATCTCACACGCAAAAGCCGATTTTTGTTGATGTTGATAAAAATGTTAAACTAAAACTTAAAAAAAAATTGTAGGCCTATTTATCCAAGTATTTCATCTTTTTAGTCATAAAACAAATCGCGTTGTTTTATTACTACTTTAGTATAATAATAGGTGCAGGAGGACCGCACTACACGTAAAACAAAAATCTACAAGATAAACCTGCGGACAAGACAGAAAATAGACATTGCACCAAATAAACAAATATCAAATCAAGTGAATGGATCCGGGGGCCTATTAGGGACCGGGTATCATTCAGATTTGATGAAAAAAGGAAAGAAACTGAGCTTACCATCTATAATCTAATCTAATATAATTCAGTTAATAGATTGCCATGCAGAAAGTATTAAATACCATCAAGATTCAATCAAATAACGCCCAGTTTGTGCTACCGTTTAGTTTAAGAAACACCATTTAGTTTTGACATCGGTCATCTAGTTTATGACCATTTAGTTTAGTTTTGATATTGGTCTTTCAGTTTATGACCATTTAGTTTCATAAACTAGACAACCGATGTCAAACTAAACGGTAGCACAAACTGGGCGGTTTTTGATGAATCTAGATGGTATTTAACACTTTCTGCATGGCAATCTATTAACTGAATATGTGTATTAGATTATAGATAGTAAGCTCAGTTTCTTTCCTTTTTTCATCAAATCTGAATGATACCCTGTCCCTATAGGCTACTTTCATTTCATCATTTTGGAATCATAAATTTACTCGAAACGAAAACCTGTCTTCTATAATTTATCCAGGTTAATACAATTACTCTGTAGTTGAATTTAATAATGTGATCTATATCTGTATATGTCTTTATACTCATTTTATAAAGTAAAAATCGTTTCATTTACTTCTTTTTTACTGCTGGACTCCTGGCTAGTGTTTATCCGCTTTCACCACGTGGTATCACAAATATATCGTAGTCTTGTGAATTCGGTCTTTATTCCCGTAGAAACAGTAGTAAGAATGAATTAAAAAAAATCAAATACTTGGATAAATACTAATTTTTGATGAGTTTTTGTATAATATCAGCAAAAATCAGCTTTTCCGTCCATGTAAGATTTCAAATTCCGCTCTGAGTGCCGAATTCCGCGATTTTTATGAAGATGGCGGAATCATGTTTTGCCGTTTTTGTAGTCATAGCGTTGATGTCCGACGAGTTGATACGATTGAGGACCACATTAATTCCAAAAAGCACCAAGCTACAAAGTCAGTGAGTGGCCGGCAAAAAGATGACGTCATCTCACTCGGAAATAAACAAACCACCATTAGCCTACTTCTACTATTTTTAAACAGCTAACGTCAAAATGTATCCGAGAAAAAAATTGTTGTTGACTTTCTTAAAACAATGGTTACCACTGACATTCCATTGGATCATCTGGAAAGATTAAGGCCATTTATTTCAAAGTATTGCAAACAGTGGAGGGGCGCTTCTAACAACAGTCACCACTTCACCATCATACACCTTTGGTAGATAAATTTGTCAACAAGCCAATTTCAATAATATCAGATGAACCTATTGATGTACGAGACCACAGCATATTGAACATAATGTTTTCTGTCTATAGTGAAATCTGTTTAGGGATTGTGTGACAATGGGAACATGCAATGGTAGTACTGTTAGTCAAGCTGTGGTACAAACTGTTACAGACTATGGAATTGAATACCACAATGTTATGGCCGTGGTTACTGATAGTGTATCTTACTGTAAGAAAGCTGATACAGATGTATTGTCTGGTTCATGTCCACAATCAACACATGTATCATGTCTTGCACATATTATAAATCTGGTGGGAGAAATCTTTCTACTCTGGCCAAGTTTAAACGATGTTCGTTCACCTGTACTGTATGATGAAGTCTGCCTTTTTCGAGAAACCTCAAAAGAAGCGAAGATTCCTTGAATTTTTAGTCGGGTATTTGCCACCTGATAGCCCCATCCCCCACCCCGTCCTGTCCCGCCCTGGCCTGTACCAGTTAGGATACGTAGAGGAACATGGTTTGCAGCCATATAATACTACACAGTATACATTTATCTATATGAAGGATTCTTCAAATCAAAAAAGTCTGAAGGTGTAGCAGTACAAAGTTTATTAGAAATAACATGGAACAAAGACAGATACAAATTTGTTCAATTACAGATAGATTTTATTGTAGAAAATTGTCACCACATATGGACCTAATAACGTTACATGTCGAAGAACAACTAGTCATTGAATATTAAAAAATAAAAGTCATTCACAATTGAGTATTTGTTATCATTAGTTTAAAATGGTCAGTTTTGTATATTTTTAGATGTTGTATTCACAAAATAGCATTTTCTTCTGAAAAAAAAACGGAATATGGTCAGCTCTGAAACGGAAAGTAACGGAATTCAAAAGACTTAAAACGGAATTTGCCATTTTCTGAAACGGAAAATCATCACCCCTATATCAGATATGAATAGTTATTCATCTCATTCATAACTGGACTAAATTGAATACCATATCGAATTGGTTATGGGGAACACAATCGATAATTTGTGGAATGAGTGGGTTGACAGTCTCTGCGTTTCAAATGTCCAGATCGTCAATTAAATCATGCTGAATACTTCCATTCCCACGATGTTACAAATTTTCCTTCGTTGACTCCTACAGAAATTATATATTGTCTCGCACCTTGCTAAGATCTAATTATTGTAAACTGAAATTACATCTGTGTTTCCAATCTAATTTCATATAATCTTTTTTTTATATTAAAGTATTGTAATTTGCTACGAGAGGTGTCAGTCTTATCAGCTTACAGGCTGAAATTAAAACCGTTATCTTTAATTCTTGTAAGATATTGTCTTTCTCCGTTCTTTAACCCATAAAGTCACATATATTTCACTGGAGGCTTTAAAATGGTGTTATTTTACTTCTCTAATCATTAGAAAACGTATTAAGATTCAGCCCTTTGGTTTCTAATTTATAGTACTTTAGAATCTTACTAGAAAGGTACCTCCTATATGCCTTGTTGAACCGGGAACTCTACATGTGTCACATAGACATATCTTTAAAAGTGAGCAGTGTTAGTTAACTGCATTCCATGAAAGGAAAGTGGCATCATGAGTTTTTGAATGAAAATTCATACCCTGCCCCTGTCACCAATTGTTTCAGACACCGAGGCCACTTGGTGTAGGCTGTCATTGTATCTAAATAAAATATATCATAAAATCATGTGTGATTCAAACTTAGTCCAGTACTTTATCATGTAGAATGAGTATCAAGACAGAATACTGGTTAAGAGAGAGAGAGGGGGGAGAGAGAGAGGGGGATCTTTAGCAGTGGGAGAAAATCAGATGACCCGGAGAAAACCCACGAGGTTGGACAGGCGACCCTACTCCTTGTCACGCCAATTTACTCAACGACAGGCCTTATGATACAGCGCGCACGTGCTAACCATTCAGCCACCCCACCCCGAATACTGGTTAATATTTTAGAATAATAAGAATACCATTTCTTGGCATACCGCTCGAGCTTTGTTTAAATTCTGTGTTAATTTTATATTTTCAGGTTGGGCGTTTATGATAGTTGTTCTTCTGGCCAGTTTAAACAGTTGTACCAATCCATGGATCTACCTGGCGTTTACTGGTAACATGTGTGTGAAGCCTGACAAACATCGGCGTATATCCCGCTCGTGGACGGCATCAACAAATCTCATGTCAACGTCTGAATCGGATTCACGACCAAGATCTACAAGATCATCCTATTATGACATGTCTCAGCGATCGTCTCGGGAATTCTCGAGCTTGTCACGTGACGCCATTACCAGTCACTGTTGATAACATTACTAAGATGATTATCAGATGAAAATGGCGACATCTGAAAGCCTTTAGATCCACTACGGTTATTCTCGAAATCAGTGAGAGAATGTCTTCAGAAGTATAATCGGTCCAAACAAAAGCCTATGGACGAATTAAACCAAAGAATGAATATTAAGTAGATTTTTCAAATGGAAAATATTCTTTTGAGAACCCTACCCTGGCTCGTGTACGACACCTATCACTTACTTTAAATGAGATATGAAATGCGGAAGCGACAGGACTTAATAAATAAATCTGATTACATTTGTATATATCAACTACAACCCCATCCTGGTGTGAAACATGGAACTTTAAAAATATAACAACATAATATAATTCATGGACGAGGATAACAGGTGGAAAATAATGTTTACATTAATGTGTAAAAAGTAGAAAAATACACTTAACGCGTATAAGGGCGCCATGTTTGTTTATATTCATTATGACTTTCTTCTGCTTCAAATGAACTATTTTCTCATGGGTTATATTACTGTATTAGATACACTGTGTGCATATGGGCTCATTATGGGGTGATCTTTGGACTGAATTTATTAATGCAGCTTCAGGATATATCTTATCGGTTTTACCAGAAATCAATGGTTTTACGCGTTAGATGCAATCGTCGTTTTCCGGATTCTTCCGTCGAGTTCTGAATAACGACGTGATCAGCTTACGCGGCCATTTATCCAGAAAGTGGGTTGAAGCTATCTAATTGGATGAATAAATTCAAATAAACTAAAATGTCAACCAATCAAGTACAGATAGTCTAGTTTAATGAAACTCATCAAACTGATATGGAAGGTGAAATCTGGTTATTCCAGTGTTGGTATAGTGAACTACCTATGACTGACGAGGTCTCCTGTATGGGTCTGGGTCGAGACGAGTGCTATTAAAGTAGTATTTAACTTCAGGAACATTAACAATGATCTTATTTGTGTGAGAAGGAACACTTTTATAGGTCATGTTTACTGATTTATAGATCCCGAATTAAGTCTTGCTTTGCTCGATATTAGAAAGGCATTGTTTGACGATGGGGGTTCAGTAGAACATCGCACATATTTATATTTAGTTACGTGTTGGGATAGATCTCTTTTGCGATGCCGTATCGGATGAACCGCGTCGCTAGTCAGAATCCTATGTTGTATTTATTGTATGTCGGTAACCTAGTTGTCTTATACACGACATTATGAACTTTGTATATATAAAGTAATAGTGGCTCTTGGTTGTAAAAAAATATGAAAAAGGACAATATAGGTAGTGTATTTAATGTATTTGTGGTTGAGCAACAGATGTTCAGTTTTATGTCGCTGTAACAGCCTGTAACACATAAACTACTCTAAAAGCTTTTTTGTCGCTTATCTGAGCCAATATACAAACTGGTGGACTCAATTTACATATCAAACACAACTTATAAATAACAGCGTCATGTTTGTTTTATAAACTTTGACTGCCTATTCCCCCATATAAACTACATGTATATATAACAAGGTTCTTTTATTTCAGCTGTCTTTGTAGATTCTAGCGCGTTATTAATGGACATGCTTAATTATAATTATGTATATAACATGCATAGAAGCCCACAAAACAAATGCCTTAAGGGACATGCCATCATATATAATATTTTCTTTTCTGATTAACCATTGTTGCGGGAGTGTGTTGTATATGTTGTGTTTCGTTGTATTCATAGTCATTGATTGCACCATACCGGAAGAAACGACGTTCAATATAGTTTAAACAGATGATTAAGTTTGTGGGATCTGTACATTTGTATAAAGGATAGTGATGTAAGATTCGTTAACTTTTCTCATTATAGTTTACAATTTAGACAAAATATGTGTGCCTATATATATAAAAGTAGAATTATTTTATCTAGATTTGAAAGAAAGTTCCAACTGTACCTTTATAAGTAAGAAATAATTAGGCCAAGTTCACATTAACTTCGAATACTGATCCTTTTGTTCTGTGTGAACGTGGATACTACGGGTATATTTTCTTGGGCTGTGTGGAATAAAGTCACTTAAATATAATTTCTCTACGCACGATGCATCAAAATACAACCTAATTTGCATACCAGTTCTAATCCTGTCAGCGTCAATGCAGATTTTGAAAGGAACCCGTTAGCTTCAGGAATGAATACAAACCTAATCTAAGCCATAATAATATTGAAGATATTACAAAAGTAACATTCAATGACAATTTAACGAAATGTTCATCATTTTGTATTTCGTACGTACAAATACGCCACGTCAGTTGTTAATTATCTTAAAAAATAAAATTTGATTTAGGAACTTTAGATTAAATTTAATAATCATCATAGAAAAATGATCTTACAGAAATAAACCGTAGCACCATCCTTTACTTTATGTCGTATTTTTGAATTTCAAATTGCTCAACTTTAATGATTGTTTGTAAATAATAACATAATTATCTATCAGGTAAATATCCATTCATTCATTGACACTAAACCTTGACTTGTAGCAAAAACAGGGGAGTTGGTTGACCTGGTGTTCTTAATGAGTGGCTGTGGATTATAAGGCTGTGCTATATAATATACTCTGCGACTATGACCCCTGAGCATAAGCAAATTGTTCAAATAAAACAAGATCATATTATGTTAGTCCCGAAATGACTTGGTTAGAGTTAAGTGTATGTTGAACCCAATCTGCCTCGGCTAAAGTGAGACTAATGTAGACGACCCCCAGGACCGCTTGCACTTTTAATGTGGCCATTTTAAATTTACTCCGTTAGACGCTTTACAGCTGCTTGTTAATATTAATATTTTTTTAATTAATCAGAATATTATCATTCAATTTGCCTTTAAATTGGACACCATAATCTGACTTTTGATAAAGTATGACCTTAGCTAATATAGTGTCAGATGTTGACGTAAGAAATACCTATATTTAGAAATAATGTTTACTGTTGTTTGAATGTTTAAATGATGACATACATATATTTATATTTGTTGTTGTTTTTGTTTTGTTAAATAAATAAATGGTAACTGTAAATACTAACCCTGTGTGTTTAGTTCAGATGATACCCTACAATGTATAAACGAGAGCCAATCAATGGTCTTTTACTGGGAATTGTAACTGTCCTACAAGGACAAGTAAAAACAACCCGAAGAACCTTTTGACCATGTTGACAATCAAGGGTCTTTTATTGGGAATTGTAACTATCCTACAAGGACAAGTAAAAACAACCCGAAGAACCTTTTGGCCATGTTGATATTTGTAACGTTTATTGCTCGATTATATATGATAATACGATGCGGATTTACTGCTGGAAAAACAACTGACCGAATTGTATGTATCCAAGAGAAACCCTAATCTGATCTTCTAACGAAACATTATCTTCACAAGATGTTCCGAAATCTTTGAATTAATTAAATTCAGATGTGCGGAGTACGCTCTGTCCACCGTAATAGCAAGATATCCTCGAAGCAGCAGCATTTGGGGTTATTTGAATTGTCTGGCAAACACAAATTTTTTTACTTCCCAAAGGAAGTGTATGGCGTAGACGACGGGAATGGCATGTTTCAATCATCACCCCCTTGTCCGTACCAATCGTCATCAATCCTAACATATGGATATTGAAATGTAGAGATACTCCAATTAGAAAGTGGTGGTACATATCAGTAAACTATCTCGATACTTAGACAGCCTCGAAGCAATGAATTCCCTGCCCAAAGCAGGTGAAAAACATCAATGATTCAGGGGGTAATCGAGTTACTGGGGTTTGAACATTCTAATTGATTCAGTTGGCAATAATTCTTTATCATTTAACATAATTTAGACTTTCAATATTTCTCTAGGTTTAAATGTCGGGTACACTTTATCTGGTATATTTTGAACTGAATAAAGGGAGATAACATCGATGAGCTAAAAGAACAGATTACAATTAGTTTCCCCGAAGACTTCCCTACCGTCTTCATTAGCCCAGTCGGTGCAGAAAGGTAGGACGCTAAACATCTATAGGTAGTGACGTCACCACCATAATTCATGACTGTTTGCTTTCGGGTTCTTCCATCTTTAAATTCATGAATATTCATCAAAACCTGGCAGAAACTGGAAATGCAAACATCCCTCTTTAATTCTAGACCACAAAGTCAACAAATATGGCCATGCAAAATGAGGGAAAGGGGATAGAGCTATAAATACAGGCAATGCATATAGTCTTAGTCCTGGTAACCAAAAATAGCATATCAATATATCGGCTGGGAAGCAGCAATGCAACGCTAAATATCCTAAAATTGACTTTAGAATCAATACCCGATTCTGTTAAAATAATATGACCGACCTTCCACCCCCGTTCCTTCATTTTAGTTGGCCATGTAACACTATTTTAATTAGTTTGAATAGTCTATATTATGTCACCTGTAACGACTGACACCCCACCTCCGTTCATCCATTACTTTAATTACTTTGACTAGACTATATGGCATTTGGATATGATCGATGCTCCATCTCAATTCTTCCAGTCTGCATATAAATGTCAATGACATGTATCACTTTCTCCAAATCTACAAGATGTAACTTCCGTGCAGACATAAACCCCGACCGTCAACACCACCGCACACTCCCCGACCATACTCCTCCGACAATACTAATATTTTGTTTTAATTCATAACGCACTCACATGCACCGTGGGTCGGTAAAGCTGATACAGGGGAAATAACCATGGTTGGAATAGTTGCTTGATTTTACAGCCCCGACCAACTGCTTATCAAACTCTCACTCAAAGTGTTAATATACGGACATTGAAATCAATTTCTTTTAAAAAGCTAGGACAATAATATGTTTTATATATTTTGTTTACTGTTTTCTGTATCATTGGGAAAGAACTTATGTAGACCTTGTATTTTCAATCCTTTTCAATTTAATAAAATATTGTTTAAACTAAACTAAAACACAACAATATGCAAAGTTTGACACCGAGGATGCACCACTGCGTTAAGTCAAGTGGGCATGAGTACTAGATTCGCAGCCCGAAAGCTTAGACTCAGGATTGTTGTTCATTGTTTTGTGTTGTTAAATGTACAGCCAACAAGCATTACACCAATCCTCAGAATATCAATTACTCCAACTTCCAGAAGTATGCGATTAATCTGAATGCAACAGGATCAACACAACTGAAAGACCGTGGGTGGGATTGGGCGGGAAAAATCGACTAAAAAGAGGAACATAATGTGCATATCTCATGTACACCCGTAAAACTGACTACCGCACTCGCTGTCTTAATGAAGAATGAATTCAATACATCATACTGCGTCATCATCGGAAATGTCACGCGAGGATCTACACCAATCCTCATCATGTCAATTCCTTCAGCTTCCAGAAGTATTAAGGGGCAATAATGCGATAAATATTCCGAACCCCATTCAAACGCATTAGGCCGGCATGTCATTACTCTCTATTCCCAATACTCAAAACAAAAAATATCAAAACATCACAAAAGCCTCTTTATTCCATCGCAGATAAATCATGAATAATTATAAACCTAACTGAAATAATCTTTGTTAAGCAACACTTGTTCAGATGTCTGATGTAAATCAGGTGATGAGGGAGTACTGCCCCCAGTCTGATCCACTCTGGCTTAGTTCGGACTGAAATCAAAGTAGAGCCGAAAGTACGACTTCTCACCCATTCTGGTACAAATAAACACGGATACTGTTAATACTTTTCCTAAAGTGATAATAAATTTCATTCTATAAAACATTTAAAAATTGCTGTATTCATGAACTGGAACATGAAAACGGGTTTGCGGCAGTTAAATTTTCTTTATTGTCTCCTGACGGTCACATCTCTGTGGACTGTAAACGACTCATTGGTTGCTAAAATTTCAGGGCCCAGTTCCTAGAAAATTCTTAAAAGTATAAGCACAAAGTCATGCTTCACTTTTGCTTACGTAAGAAACTTTATAAAATACCGTCTCTAGCAAATTCTCAAGACCGTTTTTACGTAAGCACAAGTCAAGTATGAGTCTAAGCACATTGTGACTGGTAAACTGAGACTACGATGCTCTCTAGCGACATAAAACAATTTTGGTATGCGAATTACGTCATAAATTGGTCGGGCTGCATAGAGTTATAAATAGATCAATGACATAACTTCCCGGCAAATAGTCGATCCCGGCAAATAGTCGATTTAGATGCATTTGACATGTCCCCCATACACATATAAAATGTGCCACAAGCTAAAAAAAAACCGCAAACACATGCAAACAGACGGAATATTGTGAGAGCGCCTGATCTTAAAGTAGCCCGTGTTTGTGTTTTTTACTAATTTGTTAATAAATAAAATGGTTTCAAGGTACTAGAGGCGACATTTTCTATAACATTCTTCTCGAGAATATTTTTCTGAAGGATTTTCTCTGTCTTCAATTGTCTCTTTGGTATCAAAAAATGTAGGAAATGCCGTCGAATAACTCTACGGTCCGCCATTTTGTTTGAAGCAGAAACAGACTTAAGGTTGATAAGCAAGCCGTATACCTTGCTTGGGACTTGTGCTTAGATTGATGTTTAAGAACGATGTTGTGCTTAAGTTTTTTCTTGGAACACATAATAACGTGCTTGTGTTTACACTGAAGTCTACTTCAAATCTAAGCACAAGAACGTTCTGAAGAATTTTCTGGGAACACAAAATAAGATAATTTTACTTAAATGCAAAGCCTACTTAAAATCTAAGCACAAGAACGTGCTTAAGAATTTTCTAGGAATCGGGCCCAGTTCAGCCACCTAACTTAGACTATATATTAGACCACTTTGGAGTTGCTGTATTCACAGACTGGAATAGCAGGAAAACGCGTTTGCTGCCGTCAAATTTTCCAAATTCTCCTGGAGAGGTCCCTACACGTCTGTAAACGGAGAATTTGTTTCGGGCATTTCAGATCTCCCCCCATCACAACATTTATCGAGTAGGGTCGCCTGTCCAACCTCGTGGGTTCCCTCCCACTGCTGAAGACCCCTACGCGCAAGAGAACTGTTGAAATAAAATTGAACCATGTGTTAGTCCCGGAATGACCTAGTTTGTGTCGAGTGGACGTCAAGCCCCCCTCTCTCTCTCTCTCTCTCTTCTCTCTCTCTCTCTGCTCACCCCTGATCCAAGTTCCTACACCGGAAGTTTAATATCCACGTACTCAAACAATAATTTTGATGGGTATCTCTTGAATGCGCCGTAAAAAAAATGTTCGTGTTTGGATTACTAAAAATAAAATTATTATTACCTTGCGTCACACTAACTAGTACTTTGATCTCTTTTTTTTAGAAACTCGAACTCTTTTTACCTTGCGTGACACTAACTAATACTTTGGGCTATGTTTTTTAATAAGTTTCCAGATATACTTGGCTCTTTTCGTTGTGGTCAGTAAAATTCACCCCTGCACTTGAAACCGAATAGATTAATGCACTTGTACCGATAGATCAGTGTAATGAACGATAGATAATATACATCGAATATCGTCATTTATTTTCCAATTCATTTCGTATTAGTGTGATTTGCCGTTATAATTAACAAATAGCGGTTTGTATTTACATTGTTTAATGTTGTTTCTTGCGTTACTTTGTGCCATTATAGCACTCAATAGAAATCAGAAAGATAAATTACGTCCAGTCCTAGGGGAGTAACTGATCCAGTTCCAGATACTTCAATAAATAAAATTGATATGGCTAACATGTGGGAGAAACATGTTTAAAGGACAATATTTGTGCCAGTCATTATCACATCTGTGTTAGAGCTGGTTAAACACATTCCAAATATATTTTTAACACAGATCATTGCTACGATAGCTGAGTAATACAGGTTTCCCGTATCGGAAGTGACGAACGCCAAAGGAAAACACGAGTCACTGCTCTATATAACTGACTGAAGCGACGAGTGATGTGATAACAGATACACGGCCGAATTTCTACTCACTAATAATTTATAAATTAAACGAGGCTTACCTGTAAGGTGAAGTTTGATTGTAATTCTGTCCTACTGTTGACGGCTGAGAGATCATGTGA